CCTGGCCACGCCCTCATCAAACCCTAGGACCGCCCCTTTAGAGAACAGGAATGCAAGTAAAATTTGGGAGGGGCTATTTCCGGTGTGGGAGGGGCTATTTCCGGTGCGGCCGGCCCGGAAAAAGGTGCCGGAACGCGGTTCCGCCGCGTTCCGGCTGAAAAAAAGCCCTGATGAGTAGTATAAATGTAGTTGGACTATTGAGAACACATACTATGGAGTATTGCTGGTTGAATATGAAAATATCGCGGAGAAGATAAAATTCCAAATATCTGTATAGTTCCAATTTACCACATTGAACCATATTCCAGTTATGTTCCAAGTCATAGACCAGGACATTTATTCAGAGTGCTGAGCTCATATGCTCATTTTATATAAAGGCTGTTGTGTAATATATACAGTACATTGCACATTGAGCAATCTTCTAAATGGAAATGATCTGCATCCATTGATCTGCATCCATTGACTTTATAACAGTTTCAAAACAATTATGGTTACGGTGACCACATTTTTTTTTTCATTTATTGATTGGGTTTTATGCCATTACTCATTCTAATAGTTTTAGATGCAATATAATCAGAACCATAAAGCATGGATGCTCCTGGGGATCCTTGCAGATTGAAAGACAGAATAGAAAATTAAGAAGTAAATTAAACAGGCTAATGGATATTGAAATAAACCTAGCATATAGATTTAACTGATAGAGACAGAAAAAATTAATACAGTCATAAAACAAATTCAGTCTTCCCTTTATAAATAGCAGCTCAAAAGCAGATCCATGGAAATAGAACAACTGCTAAGCATAGCACCATGTGTCTCCATGATGTGCTAATTTGATGGATGAATGGTCCCACCGAGAAAGCATCCCCAAGAGACCTCAATAGCTGTAGCTATTGAGCAGGTAGATGCCTAGGTAATGCAGCATGTCAAGTAATCATATGAGGACCCTTGAAAATCAATTTAAGTAAGTGCCTGGGCTCAGCAGCATCCATTAATTTGTAGGGCCTTCTGATATGCATGAAGCTCCCTATATGGAGAAAGAGAAGCATAGTTTGGTGTCAGGAAATGCTCTGGGTATTAAATCTCATAGAGTCCAAAGATGATAAATGTCAGTGAGTTATTTGGTCTGGAGCTATGGCATAAGACAAAAGCGGATGAGTTAAAAACAACAAGGCTTCAGATATTAAATGCAAGTAATATTAGTTGTGTCAGCACTGCAAATACTGTATATTCTTGCTTTGACAATATGCAGAACTGTCTGGTATTTTTATAGTTAAATCAGGCAACAGTGAAAGGGGAGGAGAATAGGGAAAGCCCGGGAAAAAGAAACCGGAAGTAAATCACATCTTCCAAGTTAATTGAGAGATGTGAACCATGACCCCAAAATAGGAGAGGGAAAAATGCCTGGAATGTAATGCAACGGAAAAGAATCTCAGATCTAAGCATTTCCACCATGCCGTACTGACATCTCTGTAACCTTAATAAATGCTTTTAGGATAAAAATATGCCTGAAAGTCCTTTGAAGTGTTTCGTTAATCAGACACATGACAAGTTGGATGGAAGAGAATGCTATGAATTGATTGATTAAATAATTGGTTTACGAGTTAACACTCCGGACTGGGTGATTTCTCTGAACTAGTTGTTGTGTGTCTTTTTATTTCAGGGCCCACAAGGTCAGCGTGGTGGGATAGGCCAGCCTGGTGCTGTTGGTGAAAAGGTGAGGCCTGAGACGATATTTCAGGTGGAGGGGTAACCCCTGTGATATACAGGTGACTTCAGCCAACAGGGGCTAAGGGATATGAAGCATTTGGTGTCAGCATCGGGGAAATTTGGGATTTCTCCTGAGGGGAGGCAGTTGCAGTGCAGAAAGAGGGAATCTGTGAGGCTAGATTGTGCTGTTTATTCTTTCTATCCCATTTCTATATTAGTTTGCGATCTCTTTTCACCCTCCCTCTCAAAATATGCATGAAAATTCGCATGCCTTTCTTGTAAGATGCATGTGCGTTTTGAAATACTACTTCCATTCTATCCACATTTTGGGACACCTTTTTGTTTCGTCAATATGTTATCTTTTATTTGAAAATGGCACTGCAATATTTGAAAAAGAGTGTACCACGAAGGAGATTTGTGTTTTAGTTCTTCTGCTGGCTTGAAAAAATGCAAATGAGATAAGTTTGCATTAAAATATAAAGCCAATGAATTAATGGCCTGTCACTATGTGATGGTATTGGAACCAACACTATGGGCCTCAGCATTTTCCTCACTATATCCACATCTCTGCAAGGGGACGGAAGGTTGTAATTTCCCTGTAATATTTGCATACAGACTCTTTTCTCTGGCAGCCTAGAATTTAGCTAGCAGCAGATGCATGGAGCTTTGAGTTATTCAAGAGGAAACAAATTCAGCGTGGTAGCAAATAGGAAGGGAAGAGAGTATGGTGGAAGCTGAAAATATCGAGAGGTTGGTGTATCTCCCTTCTTGACATGTGCTTTGGCTATCAACAGGGAGAGGAAGAATTAGCTTGCAGAGCATGTCCATAGATAGGATAACAAAATTCTTCATAATATACATTTGCTTTGTGTATATTCTTCTTCTTCTTGTGCCATATCTGTTATCGGACGTTGGCGATCATGTTGGCGATCCTGTTTTTATCAGCAGCCGCACGAAAAAGTGCAATCTAAATCCAATGACTTATAGGCACCCCTGGAGTTCCAGGATATACCACAAGCTGAATCTTGTCTCAGGGACAGTTTTTAATCAGAAAAGCCTTCTCTTGATTAGAAACTTTCATCCTTGTTCTGTGATTTGGAGAATGTTGGGAGTGTATTACAAGTTTTCACATTAAAAAAATAATAGTCTGTATGGCTAATAAAAATGTTCACTCTCTCTCTCTTTCAAATAAAATATTTTTTAAAAAAAGAAAAATGGCAGGCAGCATGGCAAAGACCAATGAAGTGGTTCACAGGTACATTGAGAAAGTCCAGTTTTTAAAAATGCATGGGTACATTTTAGTATGTGTCAATGTGCATTTCTGAAAACTGGTCTCAAATAAGAACTGGAACTGCAACATGGCTAGGTTAAAGATTCACTCTTTATTCTGTCTCTATCTACAAGGGTGAGCCAGGTGAAGCAGGGGATCCTGGACCATCAGGGGACCCAGGCCAACAGGTGAGCTTCTAAGTTTTGAGAAGATTTCAAATGTGGTGCTCCTTCCCTGTTCTTAGTAGGGCATGCTACTTGGAACCCAATGTCTCCCTATACTAAATAAATCTCTGAAGTGTGGGGTCACTTGATTAATTGATCTCCCCTCTCTTCGATTAAGTGAGCAGCTTAATACTAAGGATGATTGAATGAAAATATACTCTGGTGGGAGTCTCCCACCACAATGGTAGGAGACTCTGGGTTATATCCGTGTGTGCATTCACAGGGAGTGAAAGGTGATGTTGGTGAAAAAGGAGATTCTGGCCAGTCTGGAGCAGCAGGGCCACCTGGAAAAAAAGGCCCCCCAGGAGAAGATGGATCCAAAGGGAACCTGGTGAGCTAATGATTTCTGAATGTCAAAGTGGCAACAGCTATTTGGTCCTATCTCTTGTATGAAAAGATATGTCAGATCCATCTAAAATGATACATAAAATGATTCGATGGCCTTATTGACTATCCAGTTCTATAGCAACTTCCAGGAAAGATTTCATGGCTACTTTGAATGGATAGCTGAGTTGAGCACTCTCATTTTGTAGTGACGTAAAGTTAATTGATATTAACTGATTAATATCAGTTGTTTAATATCAATTAATTAATTGATAAAATGGGAAGGGACCACATGGCTGTCAGTTGCAATCCTCTAGCGTAGTTGGGATAATTCTAGATGGTGTTCTCTCAATTCAGATCTTAAATTCAGGAGATCTAGAAATCCATAAACAAGACCAACTGACATAGTCACTTAGGCTTGTGAGGGAATAGTTTCCTTTCATCTTTGGAGACCTGGTACTTTCTGATATTTATGTCTTCCTGCATTTCTCCATCACAGGGTCCGATAGGATTCCCTGGTGACCCGGGCCCAACTGGAGAGCCTGGTCCTCCTGTAAGTATCAGCTTTGAACTGAGTCACAACATTGTCAAATTTCATTTCCAGCTTTAGGAAAGAATTTATTGGGGTAAGAAGTAGGGGGGAAAAGTTTGAAAGCTACAGCTTTTTTTTTTGTTTGTTTGTTTTGTTTTTAGGGAAAAGAGGAATCCCAGACTGGGATCCTACTCAAATCTTATCTTTCATAACTTTAATTATATGAAAGTTACACTACAGTTTGCTCTTTTTTCTTGAGAGAGTTAGCGGTTAGGGGCTGCCCCAACTTGACCCCAAATTAAGAGATTACAGGGTCATAAAAAGAGAGTTCACTGTTAGGCACTCAGTTCAGCATCTAGGAATTGTTTGTTTATCTTTCCAACTCCTACGGGAGGAGCTACTGTTTTTAGATTTATAATCAATCATAGCTTTAGTTGGATGCAAGGAGAGACAAGAGCTTGGCTCCTTTTTAAGTTGGGGTGAATAATCACATAGAAGAGGGATGCAGAACCTGTGGCCTTCCAGGTGTCGCTAAACTAATGCTAACAGCAGCTGAATCCAGCAGGTCCAGTGATTAATTTTTGTGGTAATTGCAGTTCAGCAAAATCTGCAAAGGTTTCTTGATGTGAATAATAAAAAGGTTTTAATTATATTCCTGATATAAGGGTTTTGGAGCTAGAACTTTAGGAATAGTTTAGGAAAAGGTTCTATGGGTAAAGCTCCCTAAATATCCTGATGAGGTGTGAGCATATTCAATGACTAGAGACTCTTATTTCAAGTTGGAATGGGAAAGCACAATGTGGTGTGTAGAAGGAAGAAGGTATGACAAATTAAGAGACTGAAGCTCTGAATTGTAGCAGTCCATGTTACAATATTGTGTTGCAGGTCCCATTTGTATTCTCTGTACTCAGAATCTGATTTGCCACTTCTGTGCAGGGCCTAGATGGAATTTCTGGTGAGAAAGGTGATGTGGGTGATCCAGGACTTCCAGTAAGTATAGAAAACATTCTTGGTGGGGAAACTATAGCTTCTACTCTGTAGGAATAGTGTTGTTCACGTTTGCCAAAAAAAAGAGTATTTATCATGTCTCAATAACAACAGTATATATTGAGGCTTTATTTATTAATTTATGTACTTATGTATTTACTTGTTTTTCACATTTTTGAACCACCCATCTCCCTTGGAGAGGGGCTCTGGGCAATGGGCAATAAAATATTAAAATATAAAAACAGTATAAAAGTTAAACATTTATAAGGCAAGGATGACTGTTAAAATTAATTAGAAGATGAAGAGCTTTCAGGGCACTAGCCAGCCTCGTGGCTATGTGCTCCTCTGAGCTCCCCATGTGAGGTTGCAGAGCTATGTTTTCATTCCATTACAGAAGGCCAGGAGAGTGAGGGCCTTATCTCCAGAGTGGAGAGAATATTCCATCATGTGTGGGGATGGCAGAGAAGGCTCTCTTCCTAGTCTCTGCCAGTCAGAGTTTCTTAACTGAAGGGGTCGATAACATACCTTCCCCGCCTCTCTGAAGATGATTCTGTAGGTAGCCTGGCCCCATGTCATGTGAGGATTTATAGGTCTCAACCAACACCTTAACTTAGATCTGGAAGCAAATTGGCACCCAATGCAGTTTGAAAAGCAAAGGTGTAACATGCACCCTTCTTTGGGCACCCAAAATTGTTCATGTGGCTGCATTCTGCACCAGCTGAAGCTTCCGGATACTTTCAAGGGTAGCCACACGTAGAGTAGAGTAGAGTAGAGTAGAGTAGAGTAGAGTAGAGTAGAGTAGAGTAGAGTAGAGTAGAGTAGAGTAGAATAGAATAGAATAGAATAGAATAGAATAGAATAGAATAGAATAGAATAGAATAGAATTCTTTATTGGCTAAGTGTGGTTGACACACAAGGAATTTGTCTCCAGTGCATAAGCTCTCAGTGTACATACAAGCAGCAGTGATAAATCATGATCATAATCAACATAAAAATACATTCATAAATCATAAGATACAACACATTCATCATAAATCATAAGATGCAACACTTAGTGGTAGTTATAGGATACTAGATAAGCAAACAACATACATCATACTAGGATACTAAATAAAACAATATAAATCATAAGATACAAGCAACAAAGTTATAGTCATAAGAAGATAAGGAGATAGGTAATAGTAAAGATGAGGAGTATCATAGTAATACAGCTTTACTAAGTAGTTTGACAGTGTTGTGGGAATTAGTTCTTTAGCAGAGTGATAGCATTGGGGGGGGGAATTGTGTCTAGTTGTTTTGGCGTGCAATTCCCTAGCATCGCCTTGAGGGAAGAAGTTGAAACAGTTTATGTCCAGGATGTGAGGAGTCTGTAGATATTTTCACAGCCCTATTTCTTGCTCGTGCCCTATACAGACCTCAATGGAAGGCAGGCTGGTAGCAATTGTTTTTTATGCGGTTCGTTGAAGTGCATTGCAATAGCCCAAACAGGAGATGACCGGGGCATGAATGAGTAAGATATATGTAAGCTTTTTCATAGAGATATGGCTGTTTAGAAAAAATAGAAAAAATACAAAGTAATTTTGAAAGAAATAAAAATGTGATTTGAAGTGGGTGAAGAGAGCCAAACAAGAAGTCTCCAGCAGAGTAAGTAGAATTAAGAATAAAACTAATGAAATTGTTTGGAATGAAAATGAAATAAGGGAAAGAGGAAAAGAGGATGTTAAAGGTTTGTAAGGGAATGAAAGCAATAAGTCAAAAACTGCTTTGAATGCTATGAATGCTATGAAAAATGTTAAAATATTGATGTGATTTAGTTATGGTGAAGTAGCCTGTGAAGATTTTCAAGTCAAGGTGGTTGTATTAGACAGATAAAATGGAGCAAAACATTGCACCTTTTTCATAAATCATGGAAAAATTGGTGAAGAGAGATGAATTTGTGTGTCTTGTTGGTGAAATATTCATTAAAAACGGCAAAATGGATGGAGAAATGTTCAGATATTAAAAAAAATAATGGATAGCATGTGATCTGTCGTGAGGAATATTTCTTTGTCAAAAGAAGTGAAAATGTTTTTAAGACTCTGCTTCTATCCAGTTTGATCACTGGAAGAAAGAGTTGGGAACGTCAGAAGAAACATAAAACTAAGTAGAATGCTGAAGGGAAGAAGGCAAAAAGAGAGAGGGGTCAAGAACAAATGAGTGCTCAATGAACATGATTTGAATACAAAAGTGGATGATTGGTACAAGAGAAGTACCCCAGTGGTGGGATTCAAATATGTGAACAACCGGTACTCTGTGTGGATGCCACCTTTGGAAGTCCATTCTGGGCCTGGGCAACAAAAAATTAGCTACTGGTTCTGCCGAAGTGGTGCTAACTGGCTGAATCCCACCACTGAAGTACCCTGAGTTGGTTTGATCATACAGAGAAAATCAGTGAAGATTGAATTGCAAAATGAATATATAGAGCGTGAATGGGTTGAGAGGAAAGGAAAGCCTGTTGAATGAAGTTGACAAGATCCTCAAAAATAGAGAGCTGAAGTCTACACAACAAAAGGTATGTAGTGACTGGAGATATGGTTGAAACAAGAACAGTTTGCAAGAACAGAAGAGTATAAAAAGTGTATGATGTGAATTAAATTTAGCTTTATTTCCCTTCGTTTTGTTCTTATTTTATATCCTTAGTTTCTTTTCCCTTCAATTTCTTATATATTTTCTGTGCTTCACATATCATCTTGAAAATGAATAGTGGGTTAGGTCCATATATATGAAAGTCCACTTTCTCTATAGCATGCATGATTTTATATATCCTGACCATATTTTCCCCATTATCCTTCTTTGCCAAACTAAATAATCTCAAATTATGTTTTCACATGTGAAAAGTATTCACTTGCTCTATCTCACACATGTTTTGATTGCTTTCATCTGTACTTTTTCCATCTCTATTACCCTTTTTCAAAATTGGTTACCAGAATGATATATTATTCTAGATTTGAATGTAATACATAAAGACATTACAGTATTGGCAGTTTTATTTTTCATTTCTTTTCAAAGGTTGCCTGGTATGAATTTGCTTTTTTTCACAGTTGTCATATATTGGTGGAATCTTCACCAATTCTCAACTTTTTTTTCTGATTAGTTATAGACAGTTCAGATCCCATCCTTATATATGGGATATGAATCTACATGTATGCAAATAGAATTGACAATTTTGTTTCCTCTCCTGAATTTACAATTTTTAAATTTGTAAGGTGGGATTTGGGAGTCAGGGAAATTTCCAAATGTAATAAAATAATATAATATAAATAATATGGGAAACCTAAAATGAAAATAGTTGAAACCCATCAAAATGTTAAAAGCATTTTGATGTTAGAATGGTGTCTCGTAAAATATTAATGTTGATGTATATTTAAAAGTCACATCTACTGATCCAAATAACAATGGTCACAAGTAGAAACACTGCATTCATGTGTAGTGGCATATTTATATATATCAGGAATCTTATATCAATCCAATCAAGTATAACTTAAGTTTCATTGCAGTCAGGGACATTTTTTTTCTATTTGATCTACATCAGACCATGTTACGGCATCAGGAAAATTTCTCTGTACACTATAACATGTGCTTTCCCAAATGATGTCCTTAGAAATAATACTAATTTGTTTTATTTTTCTAATTTTGTTTAGGGTCCACTTGGAGCTTTTGGGGAACCAGGTCCTCCTGGGCCACCAGGGAAGAGGGTAAGTTGGGACTTACATATACATAAACAAACCTTCAAGTAACAACTGTTCTTTCTGGATGAATGCCTGTGACGGCATTCTCTGCCTACCAGTATCAGATACAAATAGCCAATAAACAGCACAACTGGATGGAAAGTAGCTCAACAAAATGGCTGAAAAGTGATGCAGCTAATGATTGTGGGTGCTCAAATACCAGCACTCCTCAAGAACAACTGACCCCAGAATACACAAAAATGCTGGCAACCACCATCAAGACTACATTTCTAAGACAAGTTGAAAAAAGGAAATCAAACTCCAAAACAAACTGCTCAAGTGTTCCCCAGGAAGCAAAGAGATACCTGAACTTAAATGAGTACAGTCCACTGCAGAACAATATCCTGCAAAAAGACCCCAAGTATAACTTTCCTTCCTTCCTTCCTTCCTTCCTTCCTTCCTTCCTTCCTTCCTTCCTTCCTTCCTTCCTTCCTTCCTTCTTTCTTTTTTCTTTCTTTCTTTCTTTCTTTCTTTCTTTCTTTCTTTCTTTCTTTCTTTCTTTCTTTCTTTCTTTCTTTCTTTCTTTCTCTCTTTCTCTCTCTCTCTCTCTCTCTCTCTCTCTCTCTCTCTCTCTCTCTCTCTCTCTCTCTCTCTCTCTCTCTCTCTCTCTCTCTCTCTCTCTCTCTCTCTCTCTCTCNCCCTCGGCAGCTTACAGGTTATAAAACAAGTGAAAAAGAGTTAAAAGATTAAAACAACACAAAGTTAAAATATTATTAAGAACCACAATATACTAAAAAAAACCTTAACATTGTTAAAAGCCAGACAGGACAGGGATGAGGTCTTTTTACCTCATCAGCCACCTCCAGCAGTGAGTGCTCCCCTCGGGGGCCCAGGCAGCTGGCAAAGCCAGGTTTTTAATACCCTTCCAGAAGACCAAAAGGGAGGAAGCAGTTCTCACTTCCAGTGATAGATATAGACATACCCTAAACAATGCTAATCAGTTAGAATTCTTTATAGCCTTAGAAACGGGATTTAAAAACACAGGACCTGCCACAGAGATGCAAGAAAACATAAAACGGACAATAATACCACAGACCAGATCACGAATCAGAAGCAGCTCGAAACAGGACTGAGCAGCACTCAAAAATCTAAAGAAGGACCAAACCATCACCATCTTCCCAACAGACAAATATTGAACTATAGGTATCATGGACACCACACAATATATACAAAAAACCCAAAGTCTTGGAGGACAAAGAAACCTACATTCCAATAAGCACCAACCCAATAGAGAAACTAGATGACCCGGTCAAGAGAACCTTTAATGACCTAACCAAAAAAGGTCAATTCACAAAAGAAGAACAGTGGTAGATGAAATACAGTAGACCCATTCCTCCTATGCTTCTATAGACGTTCCAAAATACACAAATCCGACAAATCTGTTCATCCAATTATATCATTATTAGGGACTCCAACATGCAACATAGGTAAAGAACAAAAAAGCTTGGACATCTCAGAGGGGAGTGAATATTCTATCAACTTCCCACCACAGTACCTCCAAAAAAAATCAAAGGCCTAAAAACAGAAGAAAAGAGAAAGTATAGTTTCATTTGATGTCACAGCACTCTTTATATCCCTAAATCTGAACCTAGTGAAAAAAATCGATGGCAGCAGTACAACACAACACGCTCGACCTAACCCAATACACTAAGATTGAAATACCCATAATCATGCACCTCATCAATCTCTGCTTCACGATCTACTTTCAATTTGATGACAATTAAACCAAAATAACAGAGGAACATCTCATAACTCAAAGCAAAGACTGTAAAGCACAACCCACAGTAACCAAGCACAGGGAAATGCTATGTTTATACATTAGTTGAAAATCTTATTAACTACTTTCTTGATGGGCTATAAAACAGTTAAAGGAAAATTGGGCATAGATTAAAGATGTGATATTTGTGGCACAAGAGCCCTCTTAGCCAAAAGATGGTAATTTGATTTGTTCTTTAAAAAAATGGGGAAATATCCTTTCAAGAAAGCCTGCATCTGGATAATTATGCAATAAAGGAAAACAAGGTAATTTGCAAAAATAAAACAAAATGAATTTCTTGGGGAATTCACATTGAAAATACACTTATGAGAAGCTATATACAAATGCTCCTTATATTAAAAAAAGTCCCGAAAGAAAACATTTTCACAATGTTTTTTAAGGATTTTTTTATAAAAAAATCTGCCAGAATAAAATGATGTAGCCAAATATTGCCCTATGATACAGCCAATAAAACAGAATGGATACTATGAAAACAGAAATTCTGTTTGATCATCCTCCCTCCCAGTCCCGCTCCCTTTTCCATAAGTGGAAAATATTTCTTGTAAAAAAGCTGAACCAATATTAAAATGCATAGACAAAATCATGCATTTGCAATTTCACATCAGAAGCTCACTTGGAAATAAATGTTATGTTCTCTCCTTCAGCAGAAATTCCAGAATTAAGAGACATGCTCTCCAATATATTAGATGAAATAGAAAATATGTAACTTTTCTTTCTTGGTCCTGATTATTTTATATTGTATTTCTGAGCTGTTTAAATGAAAAGAATCCTTCAAAAAAAAAAGGCATATTTTGTCCTGCTTACAAAGAAGGTTGAGGTTGACTTGGAAAATAATATTTTTTTTATTGGCTTTGCTTAAAGTTAAGCAAATGTATATGAATTCTCATCTTCTCTTTAATTGTCTGAATAAAATACAATATTCATAACAATCCATGTGAATTATTTATATATATATATATTTCTACTCCATGGGGATGGCTCCTCTCTAATATGCTGTCCATTTTATTATGTGTGATTTGCCTGATTTTTGTTGAAAGTGATAGCAAGTTGTTTAATTTTTGCATAAGCTTATGGTTAGAACAAAATTTAACATGTTTATTTAATAAAATTGGGAATATAAACAGAATTAAGTGTTGTCTAGAAGAAGGGTAAAAATGTTAAACCACAAGAACTTAATCCAAGTGATTTATGCAGGGACTTCATTTTTTCTGTTCCAGGGATCTTTTGGGCCAGCTGGACGTGAAGGTCGACAGGGTGAGAAAGGGACCAAGGTGACAGAAACCAAGCTAATTTTATTCTGATATCCAATAAAGGAATGCTAGTTTCTCTCTTCTTTTGTTTGTTCCCCCCCCCCCCACCTATTCCACTATCAATGTTCCCTGCAGGGCTGGACTGAGGTGAGGCAAATATTTAAGACAAAAGATTCTGAAAAGTAGCAGTGGCATTTCTGTGCCGGAAGATACACCCATTGTTTCTCAATCTGAACAACTTTTAAGATGTGTGGACTTTGTCAACTTCCAAACTTAGAAGTTGAAGTCCATACATCTTAAAATTGCTAAGATTGAGAAACACCATGTTGCAGCCTCTGCCACATAGCCCCTCAAGTATATTGGAAGAAATAACATTCAGTTGTCAATCTAATTACTTTCTGTACATATGTATGCATAGGAGATGGGCTTGTTGTTCTTGACAACAAAACATCCTATACAGGAACTCATTCTACAATAGCCACCTCTATCCTTCAGCTCAAAAAGCAAAATAAGTCAAATTAACTTAGTATTCTTTAAAGCCATCTGCTCCATGAAAATAGTGTATAACCATTGGACAATCTTGAAATAATTAAATATTTCTATATAAATGACTGTTTTTCCTCTCTCTTTTTCTCTCTGCCCCTAGGGTGAATTTGGTACAGAGGGTCCCTCAGGGAAAATGGGACCGGTGGGCCCACAAGGACCTCCAGGCCAATCTGGTTCAGAAGGTCTGCGTGGAATTCCTGGTGCAGCAGTGAGTATCTTCAGTTCTTGGCAAATGGCTGACAGAGGGATGAAGGAGAATAGGCTGCAAATCAACGCAATATCATGTTGCACGGAGAAGAATGCAAACATTAGCAATAAAGTTCCAAGGCAGAAAAGCAAGTTTTTTTATAAGTGTGAAAAGAGTTTGAGGAGAAGGTGAGCCTTTGTTCTTCAGTCTAAAAATAGAGGACCAGAAGCAATGAACTTTGAACCACTAGCAGGTGGATTTAGTTGAAAAATTAGAAAATCTCTTTCTAACTCTAGAAGACTTGGGCAAGGAATAATAAGGTTGGAAAGGTGGTGGAGAAATATTCTATTCTTTGGAACAAACTTCATTTTACGGAATGAATGGACTATCTCCAGGGTCATTTATTAGATCCCTTTCAAATGAGTGGCTGTAGTTCAAAAGAGCTTTTGGTGCCTCAGAAGGGAGGCACACAGCATTTTAAAGTTGTTCACATTGTCGGCTGAGGGAAATGAAGCAGTGAAGACATCAAAGAAAGCTCCAGCTGAGCATGGAGTTCCCTTAGATGCACCCATACTGTTCCTTATGTTTATAGGCCATTTATTTTATATGGCTTAGTGAGTAATGATTAAAGAATTTCTTCTTGGCAAATTCTGATCCAGTTTTACAGTACATCATGATCTGCACCTTTTAGTTAAGAAAACCTTTAATTTATTCATTGTTCTCTTTGTTTATTTTAAAAGAAAAGAGGAAAAAGACAAATAAATAAATATCATAAAGTACATATGTTACATGGAAAAGTTTGCAGAGTAACATTAAAGATAAAATTAAAGGACAACACGAACTATTCAACTGGAAGAAACATCTTACTTTTATCCGGATATATTAACTTGGATTAAAACAAATATGAAGATAGTTTCATGACCATTTTACCATTCTAGGAATTTCAAAACTTGTTTTTAACGATTATTGAAATCAAACTTTAGATTAGATAAGAAACTTATAAAAATAATGAAAAGAGTTTAGAATCTGTATTTTAAGAGAACCCAAAGTTCAGATGTAATGGCAGGGCATGTACAGAATTGTACTCCATAAAGAGTTTGTAAGTTAAACTGAAACTAACATCTGACTTGTTTTTCCAATGTAATGTATTTTAGACTATATTACATTCTCTCAGAATTTAAACTGTCATTTATAAAGGAATTAAATGTGATTTCCAGTAAAAAGCATAAAGTATCCTTGTGAAAAATATGTATAAAACCAGCTAAGTAATTGGTAGAAAAGGAAAGTTAGCATTCGGGACATGTTTCATCCTATAATGGATCATCTTCCGGAATAGTTGAGCTTTATGACATTTCCACCAAATATATGTCTCTTAAATTCCATACTTCCTCAATGCCTCATGCTGTTATCAGATTTTTTTTTAAATGAAAAGGAGTATATTAAGAGAAAAAAATGTTTCAAGAGCATGTTTCTAAAGATTTCACAGCTGTAAAAAATTTCACATGCTGATTTCTGTTCGAGGAAGTCCAGATGTAGCAAGAACTAGAACAGGATTGGACAAAATCCTGGATTTAATGATTTTGTGTGAACTTGGTAGTTATGCCTAAGCTATTTTCTAAAACCAATTCTTAATTTGGATCAGAAATATGCAGAAAAACTTTTACCAGACAGTTCTGAACCATCTTGTCACTTGATGGAGTTCACAAGGAGAAAGTCCACACATCTTAAAAGTTGTTCAGATTGAGAAACAATCTCCCTCCTTCCTTTCTTTCTTTCTTTCTTTCTTTCTTTCTTTCTTTCTTTCTTTCTTTCTTTCTTTCTTTCTTTCTCTCTCTCTCTCTTTCTTTCTTTCTTTCTCTCTCTCTCTCTCTTTCTTTCTTTCTTTCTTTCTCTTTCTCTCCCTCCCTCCTTCCCTCCCTCCCCTTTCTTTCTTTCTTTCTTTCTTTCTTTCTTTCTTTCTTTCTTTCTCCCTCCCTCCCTCCCTCCCTCCCTCTCTCTCTCTCTCTCTCTCTCTCTCTCTTTCTTTCTTTCTTTCTTTCTTTCTTTCTTTCTTTGTCTCCCCACCCTTTTCCAATAAGAGCAGGGGGAAATAGCTCTCCATCTTAATATATTTTGAGAGAAGACTAACTGAACACATAATGGTAAGTAACCACATAATATTGCACAGTCACCTTATTAGTCAAAAGAAAATTACAAGGTGATTGAAAACTTGCTTTTACTCCACATATACCCATAGCCTTGTTGAGACTTTTTAAAAAAAATATTAATGGACCCATAAAAGACACATAAAAAGTATCTCTAAAGGATAATTTCTTTTTAAGATGCATTACTGTGAAAACGAATACAGAAGTTTAATATGCACGGCAGTTAGGTTTTCTTTTGATAAGATACTTCAAGAGAACTGGTGCTACAGCTCCCTTTATTGATTTGTTGTGTAGCCTCAAAGCTCCCTTTGTCAATTCTATTAATTCTAATAAACTTTTGCACATGCTGCTCTCCTCTTGGAACTGCTGGAGAGGCAGGTGGAATGAAGCAACACCACAGTTTGGCTTTAACAGGTAGGGCAAATGATTTTGAGTTTGGGCAGACTCAGTGAGACAAGGGAGGATGGGGTAGCCTAGTGTGTTATGATCCATGGGGTTGTGAAGAGTCAGACACGACTTAGCAACTAAAACAACAACAACAACAATGATTTTGGCAAGCCACTTCAAGGTTACCTTCTCAAAGCTTTGCATGGGTATAGAACAAAGACTTTTTCACAGGGAGAAGAATGAGGTAGAGAATGGGGGAGTTTGCCCAGATTTACTTTTTAGCTCCAAAAGTCTTTTAATTCTTGTTGCTAATGTTGCAAGTTCTTTCTTCTCTAGGGTGAACCTGGTTTATTGGGAGCTCCAGGACAGGCAGGGCCCCCAGGTCCCATGGTAAGCAAAAAGAAATGGCCTCTGCACAACAGCTGGCCTTGTCCTGGTATTCTTGTCAGTTAACAATGCTGAGGCCCTTTCACTTTCACAATCACTTTCCCCTTTCCCCCCTACTCAGTGTTGGCCTTACATGGATATTTATTGTTGGGAGCAATGTTAGGAGGACCTTCTAACAACAAAAAACAATACAGTCCAGCAGTGAAAATAGCCTTTCCAAATTATTTTTCAAAGTAAAGAAGTGAGGGAAGCAGCTGCTTATTCTGATTCATTGAGCAGTTATTATACCAAAATGCATGGTTGATTAAGGCTCAGTTCCCACAGGGAATTGCTACTTACGATTTTAATGAATTAGCCAAGATTAAATTATAAACCGATGCCATGCCAAAGAATAGATGTGAACGAACCTATCCGAAGGAAACAATTATCAGAATAAGGGAGGCCAAATGAGTAACAGTCCTACTCTTCTGGTGTCACTGGATTGTGGCTTGCTATTGACTCCAGCTCTAAATGACCATTTATTGTAAGATTGCTCAATTCCTGTTGGCCCAAAGACCATATTCAGCCTTGCACAGCATATTTTAAGTGATACGCCCAAAGTGAATGAGGCCATTACTCATCTGGAGTGAGGAAGAATTAGGGATACTAAAGGATGAAATGAATGTCTAAGCCTCTGCAAGGAATACATGTTGCCCTTTAAACTTTTGCAAACTTCAAAAACAAGAAAAAGATCCAAATGCTGAAAATGTTGGGTCTACCTACTCTGGTAGGTAGACTATCATGCTGGTAAGACCACATTTGGTTGTCAACGATATAAAAAAAAGACATTGAGACTCTAGAAAGAATGCAGAGAAGAGCAACAAAGATGATTAGGAGACTGAAGGCTAAAACATGAAGAAAGGTTGCAGAAATTGGGCATGTCTAGCTTAATGAAAAAAGGAGTAGCAGTGACATGATAGCAGTGACACAATATCTAAGGGACTGCCACAAAGAAGAGGGGGTCAATCTATTCTTCAAAGCACCTGAAGACAGGACAAGAAGCAATGGATGGGAACTAACCAAGCAGAGACCCAACCTAGAACTAAGGAGAAATTTCCTGACAGTCAGAACAATCAGTGGAATGACTTGCCTCCAGAGGTTGTGAGTACTCCAGCATTGGAGGTTTTTAAGAAGAGATTGGACAACCATTTGTCTGCAATGGTATAAGGGTTTCCTGCCTGAGAAGAGGGTTGGACTAGAAGACCCCCGAGGTCCCTTCCAACTCTATTATTCTGTTATCGTGAGACTTTCAGGCAGTGCTTTTTGAGCTCCATTCTAAATGCAGCTGTTCTCCTCCTTATAGGGTCCTGCAGGGCTCCCTGGTCTCAAAGGTGATCCTGGCTACAAGGGAGAGAAGGTAAACATAAATAAACTATTCCTGCCTGAGTAGAAAATGAAAGACCTTACAATCTCCAATTGAATAATCTCTTGTCCTAGAAAGGCTTCTTCTTTCTGCAGCTACCTTGTTAAATCTTGAACCTTCCTTTTCAATTGTTGTAACTGTTAGATGGGGTCTTGCATAATTTATGACCCTGGAAGCTGATGAGCCTTAGATTGTAGCTCAACGAGGATTTTATATTTGCCTCCCTGCCCAGAACTGCTATAATTCAACTAGGTTAAAGAGGAGATTGTTAAGCACATCTGGAGGTGTTCAGTGCGACGTGTACTTTCAGGGAGGGGTGGGGGGAAGCTCACCAACTATCAGACAGAATTGCTTTAGGATGTTGTTAACTCACAAAGGACCAACAGAACAATGCACTATTGAAGAATGGAGAATCTCAGCTCAAGTTAATTTTTTTTTTTGGGGGGGGGAAAGCTTGTTGAATGGATCATAAGAAAAGAGAACTAGACAGAATCAAGCAGTGGTAGATGAGTATGAGGTCCTTCCCAAATGACCATGCACTCCTTGGTTACCCATTGCATCCAGGACTGCAGGAATCACCTTCACTAAGCAATATGGTCACGTGATGTTTTGCATAATGGCTACTTTGCTTAGCAATGGAAATTCTAGTTCCAATTTGGGTTGTGACCAGAAAACTACCAGTATTAAGTAAAGATGTGAGTTTCCAGTCTTATCTACTGAATAATATCTATTATTCTCATGTCCTGCTTAACTGGAGCAAAGTGTTGTGTATACAGTTGTATGAACACAGCCAGTAGGGGTGTGGTTTTAGCCACAATTTAAACAACTCTTGTTCAGCTGTATTGTTCAAAAAAGGTAAGACAGTTGATAGAAACTGAACTAGGTTGGCTGGCTCAGGAATTCTGGGAGTTGAAGTCCATGAGTCATAAAAAAGCCAAGGTTGCCTACCCCTAACCTAGGTCAACTGAGACATTAGCAATTGTGTATTATGTCACAATTTTAATATGAAACATAGTTGCTTTCAATTAAGTTAACACCACCACACACCCCCAGCCAACTATATTGAGCAGAATAAAGTTTATAAGAGAGTGCTAATCTGCTCTTCTTGCTTCTTAACTTAAAAGCAAATTCCTAGAGGATCCTATAAATACAGAACTGCTCTGGGTCCTCTTGTCTGTCTTATTCTTTCTTTCCCCCAAGTAATATTTTCCCCAAACAAAAAAAAGGCAGCTTCTAGATAGCTTCAGCCAAGATGGCTTCTTGCTCTTTGATGAGAACATAGCCACCACTGGCTTATCAGGTTACATCACTACCCAGCATTAGCAGCAACCATGGTAACTTTCATTGTATGAATATAGCCTTTATTTAGCTTTGGAGAAATTCTCTTTTCTGGCAAGATCCAGAAATATGATTGTATGTATGTATGTTTAGGGATGGGGAATGTATAACTTTAAAAGGGCCTTTTGCTTTCAAAAACTTTGACTGAAGTACTCCAATGAAGAGAAGCAGCTTCTCAGCAATGGGGTGGCTACTTTGCTGAACAAAAGCCACTTTTCCTGAAGTGAGGCAGCAGAAAATTAAGATAGATCAGCACTCCTTAATACTTCTGGTCAAAATGACAGTGCAGAACATCTTGCCTCCATGTTGTGAAGTATCTCATACCTATTTTCACCCACCTTTTAGTATACACTGGTTTCAAAGATCTCCTCTCCCAGCTTTGTCAGAGTGCTCATTTGATCATTCCTTCATCTTTTTTTTTTTTACTAAGCAGTTCCCTTTTCCTTCTAGGGTCATGCAGGACTCATTGGGTTGATTGGCCCTCCAGGTGAGATGGGTGAAAAAGGTGACCAGGGACTGCCAGGGAACCAGGGAACATCAGGCACTAAGGGTGACCCTGTGAGTAGATGGAACCTGGTTGAGGTGGGACTTCCCAGTCTGGATGGGAAGAGTCCCCCTCAGGCACGCAATACTGATACTCATTTTCCTCCTCCTAAGGGCAATATTGGACCTCAGGGTCCTCCAGGCCCACCTGGATCTCCTGGCCTCTCGGTAAGTATTTTGTGCAAGATTCTAAATAGCTTCCAAAATAATTCCTCAAAAGCTCCCCCTCAGTAATGCCCAAAGATATTGGCTTGTTGGTGTCAGATCTTCTCTGGAACGCTCCAACTTTTGCCTCCCTTTCCCACATCCGGGTTATTTTTCCTTTTATGTGGCTTTGCCTCTCTCTCTCTTCTGTTCTTCCCCGGTTATCTAAAAACATTTGTTCTTGCAGTATTTCCATTACTATTACTATTTTATAGTTGCCTATCCATACTTTCTGACATTGTCTTTATTTCTTTAGTTTCCTTGCAAAAGGATATTATCTCTTACGCTATTTTGCCATCTTCTTCTTATATCCAGGAGCTCCTTTCGCCTGTTGACCCTTTCTGTCTTTCCGTAGGGCCATCTGGGAGAAAAAGGCAACAAAGGCTCTTTGGTAAGTCTCAACCAATACTACAGGGCTCGTGAAGAGGAAGAGATTAAACCAGAGTTGTCTACATATGAGTTGTTATTTTTAGGACTTTAATTTTGAAAGTCTGGACTACTGTAACGCTCTCTACATGGGGCTCCCTTTGAGGAGCACCCGGAGGCTTCAAATGGTCCAGAATGCGGCCGCGCGGGCGGTGTTGGGAGGGACTCGTCGCTCCCATGTGACACCGCTGCTGCGCGAGCTGCACTGGTTGCCAGTGGCCTTCCGGGTGCGCTTTAAGGTGTTAGTTACCACCTTTAAAGCNGCTCTTTCAGCAAGCGGACCTGACCTAGGGTGGATTTTATACTGGGTTTTTTAGGAATTTGGAAGACGCAACTTTAAATTTGGTTTAATTCGGTTTTAAGGGGGGGATTGTATATATGTTTTGGTTTTAAGTATGTTGTGCGCTGCCCTGAGTCCCGCCGGGAGAAGGGCGGCATATAAATTAAATTAAATAAATAAATAAATAAATAAATAAAGGAACTCCAATTCTGGGTCAATGAAAGATGATAGCTGTAATCCAGAGGGCAACCAATGTATCACAAATTGTACACTTGGTTGATATATAATGTATTATTACTATTACTCTAATCATGGGCAGGGAGGTGCACTTAAGGGAGGCTCTGAATGGTGCTTATTATGCTTAGCTCCTGACACTAGCTACTCAAGCAGAGTTGGGCTTACAGATATTGCTAAACTGCTACTCCCAGAACTCCAGATATGACCAGTGGTAGAAGGGAATGTGTGCATTGGTACCAAGTTCTTGATCCATCTTCCTGCAGGGACCTATTGGACCAAAAGGTGATCTAGGACCACCAGGGCTACCAGGACCACCAGTAAGTGAATGGTTTACTACAAGGTCTACACAAAATTCACCTATGTTCTATACAGCTTTCTCTGGGATATTTTGTAGGTGTATTGTATCTATATGCATTTTTCTAGCCATTTTCTCCCATTGCACGCATGTTTACTATATTTTCTCTTAATAATACATGTTATGGTTATAAAAGCATGCAGAAATTCCCACATTGGGAGAGATGGATATTAAAATGCATACATCTCTGTGTGAATTTCTAGCAATGTAAATATTGCATATATAGCCACATTTTTTACACATTACAAAATTCAAAGAAATGCTAAAAATGAAGGGCTTGGTTTGAGTTTTGGCAACATAAATTTAAGTGGTCTCCTTTGATTCATATTTGATTCCTGTCATTTTTCTGGACCTGTATACATGATAACAGTTCAGAAGCAGTTTCCTTATTTCCATGAAGTTTTACACATTTTCTGCCTGGCTGAAGTCTTAGAATTCTCTGGTGATCTCCCATCCAAGTACTTTGTCAGGTCTAACTTTATGCCATGTGTGTACACGCACTTTTGAGTCTTCTTTCTGTTTTCCATTTTCCTACTTCTAGGGCCACCCTGCTGAACTGCAGAATCCAATACCCATGGGAAGTAGGCGCACAAGCCGCCAAGACTGGGAGATAGAAGAACAGAGAGATGCTCCAGGGGAGGGGGATATTGATCCTGATGCTGATGGACTGGCAGAAGTCTTGGCAGCCCTGAGCTCTCTACGTGATGAGGTGGAGCAAATGCGATGCCCAGTGGGCACTCTGGACAGTCCAGCCCGGGTCTGCAAGGAGCTTCAGTTTTGTCATGCTCATCTCAAAGATGGTGAGTTTGAAGGTGAAACTCCAACTTCCGAATAGAATGTACTGTCAATGTGCTGTCTATCCTAATTCTGAGAGCCAAAGAGATCTGTGTGTTGCCTTTGGTAATTGGGGAAGAGGGAGAGTCTGCAAAAGTGTAACTTTCTGATTGTGAGGGGACCACTTCCTCATGGTTTTCCTAACCCTTTCTGCACTGGTTCACATACTATTCTTTAGGTGAATACTGGATTGATCCAAACCAGGGATGCAACCGAGATGCCTTCAAAGTTTATTGCAACTTCACAGCTGGTGGAGAAACCTGCTTATTCCCTGACAAGAAATTTGAGGCTGTAAGTAGCTCACTTGACCACTAAAGAGGTGATCAGGAAAAAGATCAGACGCTATGTAAATTGGCCTAGCACCTTAAACAGGTTACTTGGCTCAGGAACCTGAATTTAAAACCCTAAGGTGAGCAACAATTTGAAATCTATGCCTTTAGGTACGACTTGCCGCCTGGAGCAAGGAGCAACCAGGAAATTGGTTCAGCACTTTCAAAAGAGGCAAAAAGGTAACATTTTCCATTCTGTCAAGCTTGCTTTTATACCTAGAGGAAATCTGGAAAGGGAACACAGTACTATTTCCCATTTTCTGTTAATCAAAGTCATTGCCCAGTGCAGTATCAAATCCATATGCAAGGCCAAGCCATCTTTCTTCAGATATGATTTATAACTGATTGAATAATAGAATAAGAGTTGGAAGGGACCTTGGGGGTCTTCTAGTCCAATCCCCTGCTCAGGCAGGAAACCCTGTACCATTTCAGACAAATGGTTGTCCAATCTCTTCTTAAAAATCTCCAATGCTGGAGTGTTGGAGCATTCACAGCTTCTGGAGGCAAGTTGTTCCAGTGATTACCGTAATTGTTCTAACTGTCAGGAAATGTCTCCTTAGTCCTAGGTTGCTTCTCTCCTTGATTAGTTTCTATCCATTGCTTCTTGTCCTGCCTTCAGGTGCTTTGGAGAATATGTTGACCCCCTCTTCTTTGTAACAACCCCTGAGATATTGTGTCACTGCTATCATGTCACCCCTAGTCCTTCTCTTCATTAAATTAGACATACCTAATTCCAGCAACCTTTCTTTATATGTTTTAGCCTCCAGTCCCCTGTTCATCTTTGTTACTCTTCTCTGCACTCTTTCTATAGTCTCAACATCTTTTTTACATTGTGGTGACCAAAACTGGATGCAGTATTCCAAGTATTGTCTTACCAAGGCATTGTAACACTTGATTCTATCCCTCTGTTAATGCAGCCTAGGACTGTGTTGGCCCTTTTGGCAGCCGCAGGGTTCAGACAATGCACCTAAACCATTGTTTACATTGTATAATTGCTGGATTCACACCCAATAGATCATAAAAGGCTTAGTGTGTAGTGTAATTATGACCACTCTGTGTCTGTATTTGTGAGAAGGTTGCAGTGTAGACTGGAAGGAACATAGTGGCTTTCTGTTAACCCACCAGTTCTCTTCTCCTTCTGTTTCTCCTTCCCAGTTCTCCTATGTGGATGCAGATGGCAATCCTGTGCTGGTCACTCAACTCACATTCCTACGCTTGCTGAGTGCCGTTGCCCGGCAGAACTTCACCCTCTTCTGCCAAAATATGGCTGCTTGGTATGAAGCTGACACCCACAGCCACATGAAGGCATTGCATTTTCGGGCTTTCAATGATGTGGAGTTGATGCACAACAGCACAGATACTCCCATCCATGCCTTGTATGATGGCTGCCAGGTGAGAGAGCATTCTTCTACCTTTTTTTATCTCTTGACTATTCCAGTATTCCTTGATCTTCATCCCCACAACATGAAATGACTCTGTGAATTGCAGCTCACAGTGATTACATTTGGACCTTAAAGTGAAGGTCTTGATCTATGAGATCACCATCTCATAGATGGAACTTTGAGTATTCCAAAATTATCATGAAGGAAAATCATCTGCTCCAAAAACCCTTTCAATGACTTTTTCCCTTTCATTCATCTTTTTCCTTTTTTTTAAAGCATTTTCCAGCTCTCATATGAGCCATAATAGGGGAGACATGTTAAAAGACCAGAATAAAATATTCCTCTCTATTCCACTCTGAGAAAAATACCCATACTTTTCTGAATTTAGAGCCATTGCCTGCTTGGTCCATGTTTGCCAAACTAAGAGAAGTTATATTTTCTCAACCATGTTTGATCTACTGTTTTTCTGAAGCCCCTGATGAGACATTTTCAAACCCTGTTGCAGCCATTATTTCACATTCTCAGGATTTTGCTTTTGAAGTTATCTTCTCTACTTTCAGGTTCGCAAAGGTCAGGAGCGGACAGTTCTACAAATAGTGACGCAACATGTGGAGCATCTACCATTGGTTGATGTGGCTGTTCAGGATTTTGGCGATGCCAACCAAAAGTTTGGCTTTGAGCTCGGCCCGGTCTGCTTCAGTGGCTGAGCCTTCCAAAGATGGACACTCCCTCTAGACCATGTTGGACCACCTCTAGAAAAGAGAGAACTAAAAGCCTTTTCTCTCTGCACTGGTGGGTGGGGGGTGGAGGGATGCAGGAATGGAGTCAGCCTTGCAAAGACCTGCCGTTGTATTTAACCTGATGACAGCCTCCTATTTATGCGGCCAAGGTCCCTCAGGGTGTGACTCTTTGGGAGTTGCACAGGGTTCAGACTGAGCCAGGGCCCTCTCTCGTTGCAGCTCCATTATTGGTGCTATTATGCCGTCTTAGTGAAGCACTGGACTGACTGGTCAGATCTGGCCACCTGTAGCGATGGGGATAATGGAAACCACATTCTCCATAGTTGAACTTCACCCCAAAAAGGACATGGGGATGTCAAGATTATGCCTGAAGCATGTTGGGAACTGGAAATTCAGGACCAATCCATTGGCACAGCCATCTACTCTAAGGCATGGGCAATGGGAAAGGATGGAGAAGTAGAGCAATAGTTTTGGAACTAACAGGCAAACACAGAAAAACAAGATACTGTACTGATATACGATTTAAGGAATAAGCATAGGATATCCTTATTTTTTTAAACTGTATTGTATTGAATTCAACTCAATTGATAAGTGTCTTGACATGACAGTGGAATGCAATTTGGGATAGTCTATATAGGACTGTTCCATCTCATTCCTTCCAATTACCATGAAGATTAATTGACATATATTTCTCTACAACAACCAAAAGCTATCCAGATACTATGCTTAGAATCTGCATCCTCTTGGGGAAAAAGAATCACTATCTGCTTTTCCTATCTTAAGATCAAATGGTGCTTGAGTAGCAAGACATACAAAATCTTGCTGTTAGAATGCTGAGCCTGTTTCCCATTTTTTATATTTACTACAAAAACTTCACCATAACCCTGCAAGCCCACCATTGTTTTTATGTTGGAAAGAGTAGTCACAAGCCATACTCACTAGTCTCTCATTCTATCATTCTGTTCATGCTCAGCAGATTCCTATAAGACATTCTTCCCCAACTTAGCAACCACCATTAGTTTAGGGAGGAAAAACTGACTGGGAATTTTGAGAGCTGTAGACTGAATTCAACTGTAGAGCACTAGGTTGGGGAAGACTGTTTGTAAGGTATGGCTAGTGATTCTGACATGATTTCTCCTTATGGAGAAAAGAAAGTATAGCAAAGCTTGATTCTCTGCTAGCAAGACACTTAACAGACTCCTTGAAGCCCAGCAGCCTATTCAGAGATGGAGCTTGTACCTTGTGTTTTGCCTTCTGCACTGTGCCGTGTTCATCATTTATCACTGAATTTTCCTCACACTCTGGTGCTAAGTGCCCCTATTTTTTATGCTTCCATGTATCTCAGGCTGTGGCACAAACTGGGTATGTATGTGTCCACAGATGTATGATGGTTACTGTATTCGTCTAAAACCCTCATTAAACCACAAAACATGACTGCCCACCATTTCTGTATCGGCTGGATTGGAAAGACTCCTTAATCCAGGATTTTAGGGCTAGTGTCTGGATAGGAGAACTGCTGGGTTGAATTTTGGCTGTTCTGAATTTGGAGTTGTGTACCAAATGTCATATGTGCAGGATAGACTTCCTCTTTTTTTTTGTTTTGTTTTGTTTTGTTTTTTTGAGTGATAATCAGAATTCTGACTGGTTGTTAGACGATCAATATTTTTCCTTGCTGAAACAAAGGTAGAGTTAAGCAGAGTGAAGCTTAACTGTGGGAAGACATCGACTTGATAGTTATTGCACTTTCACTGCTGAGATGGGAGCGAACCACATGTGGAATTTTCTATCACTAATGCCTTGCGTATTTGACAGGAGAAGGGACATATTTTGTTATTTTGCTTCAGTGAGGAGAATATCTCTGGAAGTGGGACTTTCACTCTCAGCCTGTGCTACTCACTAACAGCTCTTGACATCAGACGGAGATTTAATTCTGCATTGAAAACTGTGTCTCAGGGACCAGTGCTGAGCTGAAATGTGAAAGAATACATTTAAGGAATATTGTCCCACCCACAAATGTATCCTTTCATGGGTTCATAGAATCCCAGATGTCCCATTTACACTGTTTATATGAGAAGCTCATGTTGTTTATACTAACTGTGCTCTTATTCCTGTCTAAAACTAAAGGGTCTTGGCATGAAATAGTGGTACATATTTGCGGACGTGACAATCAGTAGATATTAGGAATTACCTGGCCATAAAAAGGTTGTATCCCACTTTTCCTTTCCAGTCAATGGGATCTTGAGCTTTCCTCTGTGATCTCAACACAGCCCTATTGTGCTATGTAGATGGCACTGTGACATCATATGATATTAAGGTTTCTGATTGGCTAGGATTGCAGAAGGTGTTTTTTTTTTAAAGACTAGTTCAAGAAAGAGTGATATACTTCCATCAGGGCCTGTGTTCAGGATGTGTGTATGGGAACGTCTAAACAGGGGAAGAGTTCCCTTCTCCTACAGCAGACATGTCAAACACAAGGCCCGGGGGCCGGATGCGGCCCACAAAGTGGTTTCATGTGACCCGCGAAGCCATCCTGGAAACAGTGAGGGAACGGCCCCTGCTGCCTTGGCCCTGGCCCAGGCCGGCCGGGAGCCAATGTACAATTTTGTGGTGGCCATCTATGCTGAAACACATTCAATCTTAGCTCCACAAGGCTGTCTGGAAACAGCGAGGAACCAGCCCCTGCCGCGTCGGCCCCACCCCTTGGCTGCATGGTGGGGAGGTGTCACCCTTTGTGAGGAATGAAGAAATGCACCATCACCTGGAAGTGGCCAGCAAATGGCCTCGCCTACTTCACATATCTGGCTTGATGGGCTCTGCCCTGGTTCCACCTCTTTCTGCCAGAGACCCTCAGATCTGTCCCACTCCTGCCCAGGCCCTCACAGGCACCCTTGATGTGAATGATGTAGAGCTGGCCACGCCCACCCAGTAGGCCACACCCACTCCATCCACACCCACCCAGTAGGCTGCACCCACCCTGGCCACACACACACACACCGAGGGCAACCACAATGCTGATGCGGCCCTCAATGAAATTGAGTTTGACACCCCTGTCCTACAGTAACTTCCACAGCAAAATGGGAATGTGTTTTTACAGATGTGTGTTATCTTTAGCAGCAAGTGGGCTGTTAAATAGAGCAAACTGACTCTTAAATTCAAATATTTATTATCTGTCTCTTCCCATACTTTTTTGAACTGTTCATTTTATTCATTCTTGGGACTTAATTTATCAGGGATTTGCTAAAGACCATTTCCTTATTAATACAAGGGCCTGACCTTAAATAGTAATATTTTAAAAGGGAGTGGGTAGAGGAAGAAAAGAGGACAGTTCTTCTAATCATTAGCAGAGTACCTGTCCTTCTTCTCAAAGTAACAACACATCCCACTTGCATGATGAGTTATACCAAACAAGATTTTCAGACAGCCTTCAAAGAAATTGTAATTTTGAATACAAGGACTTTAAGCATTATCTAGAGCAAGGACAACAGCTAGTGTTTAAATACACAGATGGTGTCTGGCCAAGTTTTGATCAAAACTGCTTTATGGGGGCCAGAATTAATGCAATTCAAAACTAGTAACAATAGCACTGGCAGATTAGCTCTTGTAATCTTATTTAATCATGATATATCCACTAAGGGATGCTTATGAGAAATGGGAAGTAAAAAGGAATCAGAAAGAAAAGGAGATTAATAAAACCTATATAATTACTGTATTTATACATGTGAATGTACAATCGCACAGATATACAGTATATATTTATACCCACTGCAATTAAACAAGCTCTAGTGAAACATTTAAGTTAAAACATTCTAGTTCAGGCATGTCAAACTCACGACGTGACGTGATGTCGTGTGATGTATCAGGACTTTCCCCCCCATTGCCGGCAATGGGGTGGGCGCGGTTTCGGTGTGATGTATCCGGCCCACGGGCCAGCAGTTTGACATGCCTGTTCTAGTTAAAACATTCAAGCTAGCCAAGAACTTTTCCAGCTGCAATTATTCCCACAGACTTCATAGTTAATTTTCATGGGAAGGAGGTAGTGTTCCAATAACACTATTGCCTTTTTTCTTCATTCTCAAATGTTTTAAATGAAAATAAAGGGTACTCATTCCCAACTTAGCTCAATTAATGTGTGGCTATGGAAAGTGTAGAGTTAAACTGCCCTCTTTAAAAAATAATTCTATTAGGAGCAGCCCCCCATCACAAAAGATAAAGCAAGCTTTTAATTTCCCAGAAGTTTTCAACAGGGATAAACAGATAGTGTGGTTGAGAGAAGCAAGCTACCATATCTTCCTTGTCAGCTCTACTCAAAGCAAAGTATTTGTGTTTTTGGTATTTGTGTCAGGCCAGATACTGCAGCCCTAAAAGAGAAGGGAAAATAGATTTGTTGGAAATAAGCCTTCAATAGTCAAATAGTCTTTTTGTTTTGTTTTGTAATTCCCCTCCCCAGTATGGCACCCATATTTACATTAGATTATAATCTCTATTATCCTTATAGAAGCTGAAAGTACTGGGTGGTGATGAACATGTTTGAAGGCTTCCTTCAATCCCTGTGTTATCTTAGAAATGCTCTTTTCTGGCACTGTAATGAAAATTGCCTGTTCCTCAATTTCCCCCTGCCTTCAGAACGGTAGTTGAAAGGGGGCTTTGGAGGTGTATGTGGCAAAGATAAAGGGAAAAATCAGGAGAACATGTGTAGGTTATGGAATATGGATAGCGCTCCCTATGTAGATTGCTTCCAGTTATAAGAAATACACATTCCTGTTCTAGAGCCATGTAATTTACTGTATAGTGCAGAGGTCCCCAACCTTTTGGGCACCAGGGACCGGTTGCCTGGAGAAAGGTTTTTCCACAGACCGGAGGGTGCATGGTTTTGTGTGCTGCCTGCATCCCGCAGATGGGACTTTGCTTGTTTGTGCAGACCAGTTGCAGACATGCTGCGGCCCAGTACCAGTCCACGGACCGGGGGTTGGGGACCCCTGATATAGTGTACCATAGCACACAGAAGGATTCACCCTAACTCATGACAGCTGGAAGTTTGTGGGTGACTCGGCACAATACATCTGA